GTGTAATGGTTTATCTATGTTTAATAAGCAATAAAAGAAAAGCATCCAAATCACATTTGGGTCACAAAGTATTGTTTTTCTACTTCTTGAATCCAGTGCAGGTGGCTTTGTGGCAGTAGGCTTGGTCGATCAAGCCAAGCCTGTAATCTCATATTGGAGAATAACTCCATATCTTGCATCCTTTGAGCCCCTCCAAAAGCAATTTCCCTCCATTTAGAAATGCCATTTTCTCCTGATAGTAGATCCCTTGAGCTTTCAAATTAAACATTGTCACCTGACTTCACCACTCAGTGTCCCCAAAGCTCTGATCATTACATCATCACCTGTATAGGTGTTGTGTAAGGACACATCTAGGACACAAAATCGGGCTGCGGCAGAGAAGCTGACTCTAAATAAGATGTGTAGGCTCTTATTGCCGAATGAAATTCAGCTGTCAAGTAGCTGTATCTTAACATCTCTGCCTGCAAGACAAAGTTCAAGAGAGAAGTACAGACTTCATCCCACCACAGCTAATCAAGTCTGTCTTCTAGGTGTTTTCCCTTATATCTTTTTGGTTAGTTGATAAACCTGTTTTTTGGCGCAGCGTTCCAAAATTAATGGGTATTGGAGTTAAAATAGTTCAGCTTCCATTTTAATTTGCCAATCTCTGAAGGTGCCTAGGGCATTAAAAGGCAGAAAATTGACATTCAATTGTACATTTTAATGTAATGCCAGTGTTAGCTCTGTCAGAGGGAGGATTTCAAATGGCTAGATATTGTATGAAATGAAACTGCAATTATGCCATTTTGCAAGTGTCAGTCCACACAATAGGTTCATCATCGCTCACTTACAGACTCCCGCGCCATCCAGAAAAAAAAAATCCTCAGACATGTACAGTTAAAACGATCTAAAACTGAAACAGTCTGTCTCCAAAACTTCTGATGTAACGTACTTCACACTCATTTTTAAGCATTAAGCTGATGCTCTTATTCAGAATGACGAAAGGCTAAGTGCAAGAGTAGTATAAGCTTAAACCACTACATTGCAGACAAAAGACCTCCAGAGAACGGGGTAAAAGCACCAAAGCCACAGTCAGTGTCCATTTGTTATGACTTTCTTTTGTTACCCTCGAATGATCCTAGAGAAGTAGTGGCAACATGGGCAAGCAGGAGAAGGCAGTTTTTGTCCATGAAGGTTCCATTAAAGGATGAATGTTTCAGAGATGCCAGATATGTAGTTTCTTGATGTTTTCTGATGATTCATCCACTCATCATCACCAAGAGAAAAGCCTGTCCGCAGTTTCAAATCAGCCTTTTTGTCATTCTTAAGTGGCCACACAATCATCAGGTAATATTGAGCCCCCAGAGCTGATTAATCACACCCACTGCCAGTTTTTATTGCACTTCAGCCTCCAAAAACATCCGCAGGTACACAAGCACAAACCTCTCTGTGTCAGATGATGGCTGGGGATGGGAGGAGCTAGGGTATGGAAAACACCAAAAGTATGTAATTGAGTTATGAACCAATCACAACAGAGCAGGTGGTCCGAATAATCTGTCAGATATGTGTGTGTCCTGAAGAGCACAAGTTTTTTTTCCCCCATTAGGTTTAATTTTGCTTTCATCTGCCTGCTTTTTAACTCCTGACATGTACATTTAGTTATTACAAGCTTCAAAGAGAAACAGCCAAAGAGCTCAGGGACGTCTTTTGGGGCTTACTGACAGACTACTTCTTGACATCCCAAACTGTCACTGTTGCAGCTCAGTGGACTTCTGGAATAATTGAATCACATGACAGCTGTTTGTGTTTGTGTGAGTGGGTGGGAAAGCACAGTGTCTTTAAAAACTCTCCCCAGGTTTCCCAGAGTATTTTATTGATGTGTGCTTTTCTATATCTAGCTTTCAATCAGTTGGACTGCTGGGTAATCAATACTGGTAGAGGGCATTAAAACTCACTCTGTGTGTTTGTGTAAATCCCTGGAAAAGGATTCTTCTCCTCTCTAATTCCTGCTCCTTATCTATCCCCCCAGACACCCATCAGTGTCACGTTTTTTAAAGATATATGAGCCTGATAGGTAACGAGTTTTAACAGCATTTTCCTACTCTACTTTACACTTTCAAGAAAGGCTTATCAGGACTGTGTTGCACCCTCCACTGACTTTATGTGTTATTACTATATGTCCAAGAAACAGCTGCACTTTGCATATTCAGCTTGTTGTGTTAATGTTCACTGTTGCACCGTAGCTTGTTATATTTTGCAAATGCCAGGCATTTTTCTGTAGGTTAAGATAATAATTTCCAGTTTGGCATTAAACAGACCTTGAACTTTTATTATACCTAAAGATGTTGAGAGCAAAGGCATAGAATGATCAGTGTTTCAAAGATGCCTTATGTCTACCTCCTTGCCTTTTTTTGATGATTTCTTTCTCATTCTGAAATGGCCACACAATCAATGCATGGTTATAAACCTCCGGAAGTGATTAATTACATCAACTTCCAGATTCCCTTGTGATCCAGACTTGAACAATTACAAACAAATGCACAAGCAATACGGCACAAAAGCTGAGAAGAGCAAACATGACATGAATGACCCACTTTCGGAGCCACAAGTGTCTTATACACAGCAGATCAGATCATTAGTTGATCAAAAAGCAAGGTTTTTGATGTGGTTTGGTTTAAACCTCTGGCAGAAGCACCACCATCGTTTCAGGGGAATTCTCACTTCAGTATCTCATTTTGGAATTGTTACGCTGCAGATACACTTAATCTGCAATGATGCTGCTGTAAGCATTACATTTGCTGTAGTTAAAGGATGCAAAATCAGAAAGCAAGTAAAATAAATGGACTATGATCTGCATGCAAACAAAGCCACAGCAGTGATGTAGCCGCAACAGAGCTTCCCATGTGAAATTAACTTCCATCCGAGAGAGATGTGAACTTAACCTATTGCCTTAACTACTGTGATGATCTCACTGAACCTGGAGTCAGTGTGCTGAAGATTGAGCGGCTAAAGTTTGCAGGTCTCCCACCAGACAAGATTAATTCTACCCAGCCTCAAGCCTTTGGCTAAAGCAAAGCTCTTTGGTTGAACTGCCCTTAAGCTGAAATAGAGTGTAACTTAGAAACATAGAAACTGTCTCCCATAAAAAATCATAATAAAAAAACACAACAAAAGAAGAGAGAGAATGGATGCTTGTCCTAATGTCCTCCTGCTGTCTCTGTGTGCGAAACTGGTATAGACTGAAATTACGTAGCCCAGGGCTGCCACATGAATGCACGAAACAACCACATAAACACAAACAGGACAGTCAATTTGTTACTTTCTTTCAGCAGCAATATGCAAAAAAGGAAGACACTTATCTGAGAGACAGAGCGAGAGAGAGAGGATGATGTGACCTGAGACTGGTTCAGATAAGCACTTTTGTTCCTTTTCTATCTCTTCTTCTACGAAACTGAGACACACATACACATACACAGGATCTCTTTGTCAGTTTGCCTGCCGCTGAGTTGTCGCGGTGACAGAAGAGGTCATCTGGATGAATGCGTCGTATTATAGGATATGTGCTCAGATCTCGGTCAAAAGGTTAAATATCCAATCAGCACACAGTGTAGCTAAACCCTTTGAAACCAAGAATCATAATAAGTTAGCAGCGGAATCAATAGATGTCAATGAGGACACATTTCATAGGGAGCCACAAAGTATAATCCAGGCAAAACCAGATGGATGAAGAGCTTAAGTCTTCATTTATGTCTCACTGATATGAGTTTTTAAAGGGCAACACTTCAGCCTCCAATAACTGATACTTTGCCCGTGTTCAGTATCTATAAATGTGGTCATTTTCATTGTCATTCTTGTCCCTTGATGCAGACTATATTTCCATTTTGCTGACTCGGTGGAAGAGCATTATTTACACCTTAAGTGATCGGGACACTGAAACCCGAGATTAATTGGATACATATAAATTAATGGATTGATTGATTGGTAGATGGAAATAAAGACAGTTGAATTTGGTATGAATTACTCCTTTATAAACTGTACTGACCAGTTTTACCATGATGATGATGTAATGTTCATACGTCACGAATCAGATGTGGGTGGCTTAATAACAGGTGAATTGTAGCCTAATAGGCCAACCAGTACATTGATCTAACCCTGGTATACAGACATTGAAAGATGGCAGCATACTGTACATATACTGCCAGTGCAAGTCACATAACACAGCAAACTCCTCACTTTAGAAATGTCAAAATGTCAAATCAAGAACAGTGTGTTTGAACGTGAATTAGAGTAGTGTGTTGTTATTGGAAGAGTTGGCTTAATCAAAATATTCAGTGATTTGTTTTTTACTATGGGGCTGTCCTGCTGTCTCTGAGTCTTTCTACCTATTTGTCTTTTTACAGTTTCCAGGCTAGAGTTGAAGGATTAGAATGTGCTGCTCTGAAATCGGCTCGTCAGCCTGCCAGCCACTGATAAGCACACTCAGGATCGATTAGATCTGCCTTTAATCTATTCAACTTTTTGCAGGCGAATGGAAAAATGCTTAGTATGGGAGATGTGAGGTGCGTGATACGGTGACTTTGGTTACACGTGCCCAGAGGGCAAATGCATTGTAAGCCACATTTTCTGGCATGAGATAATATTAAATATGCATTTTTACAAGTCCTCTTTAACAAGCTGCTATAGGCAAATACAAGCTAAACAATTCAGAACAGCATTCTATGAACCATGAAGGACAGAGATAATTACTGAGAGAGACACAGGCAAAAACAGGAAATAAAGAAAAGAGAAAGGAAGGAAAACAACACAAACACATATGATAATATAATTAAAGCGAAAGAAAGAAAGAGTTGGAGCTCTCAGTAGACGGTGCTCTTTCACCCATCTCGCTCAATTGCTCTCCATCTCCCTGAAAGAGCCAGTTTAACAGAATGCTAAACAGGCGAAGGGGGCCTGATGTGTCACTGCCAATTCACAGGCCTCTTGATTCCACACACGCATATGAAAAAAATGGCAGAACGCACCTTTAGCTCATTACTGGTGTCGGATACGTTGAGGGTTTTCTCCTCTGCACGGCGACACAGATCTGCCTGAGAGAAAGAGGAGAGGGAGAGAGGGACTTTAGATTAATAATCACATGTAAGAAGTACAGTTTATTGACGAAGAAAGGGTTCAAAGACATTATACATTATGTGATTATGATGTAATTAGATATGTGCTAATTGGATGTACTATATATCTCATTATATTGGGCATGTAATTATGCAGGGGAGATGTCAGAGTAGTTAAAAATAAGTAAAAGACAAACCGGAAAACAAACAAATACAAAGTGATTTTGACTTGTAAATATAAAATAAGCTTTTCTGAGGAAGAGCATGACTCAAAATACTTAAAACAGTCTCGTATGCAAATTTAAACATGAGCAACTTGACAAGCAAACCCCTTGTAACCTTTAAATACACGAGAAGCTGTCAGACACCCCTTCTAATTCTCATTTTTTAAATCTCTGATAATGAATTTTAGGTTTACTAAATATAAATAATATCAAGCCCTTAAATAACTACATCAACAAAGACAGCATCATTCTGTAAAGATCTGGGATTGTTCATACTGCCCTCGCCGTCTTCCCAAATTTATTGCATTTCAGTGCTATCAGAACAACTGCACATTAGTAATGAATGACTGGCGGGAGTCAAATATAAATAGAAGATATTTAATTTACGTGTTGACTTAGCCAGTACTGTTCCACTGTACTGTGCTACCTTCTGAGTGTACAGTGCCAGCCTGCAGCTAGTTAATGCTAGTGAAGACTTTTACCATGCAGCCTGACGTATCAGCAACGAGTGGACTGACTAGTCGCAGTCTCAACATTACCAACAGATATTTTCCTGACTTATTATAGTTCAAATCACACCCTGGCAACGGAAAATATAACCAAAAGAACCAAACACAAAAACAAAAAAACCTAATTTTTTGGTTGGAAGGTGTCTTCAAAACTTGTCTGTCATAAATAGAGGTGTCCAACCCAAATTCAGTCCAATTTCTGAGTTCTGCACTTTTTTCCCTTGCATACAGTGGGGATTGGCTTAAAATATAAATGTTGCTATAAACATTAAATAGTATTTAGTATAATAAAGTATTACAGAACCTGCTGGTGTCATTTCATCGTTTTTATGAGCAGTTCTCTTAAATAGATGAGAATTAACAAAGACTTTTTCATAACCATTAACAATAATTGCCTGTTTAACCACAACATGATTTAACCTGCGCCTCTGCTGCATTATTGCCCAAAAACTATTAAAAACACAGAAGAAAACATAGTGTTGCATTGCTTGACATATTTCTTTATTGAGATTAATAGTCACTGTTGCCAGCCAGTGTTGTTAAAATATATATATATATTTTTTCAGTATTCTGTGGCAGGAATAATGTTACCAGTTGACTCACAGTGAACTCAGGGGCTACAAACAAACTTCCAAAATTGGATGGCAATTTGAACTCAGCCAGACTCTTTTCCTTTAGTGGTTACATAACCACAATATTGCAGTCCAAGGTGTCCTGGCTTTCACCTCTGCCATTATTTTCATATATCAGGACATTTGTGTTACTGCTTATAGTGCACACAGTGAGGCTCCAAATGTGTGCAGAGGTACAGTAAAGTGTGCTCAAGGACACTTCAGCATGGCTGCAATGGGTTGTTGGAGGCAACTGAGACCCTTTATGGGACTGTGTCTCTACCTGCAAAGCCAACCAGATAGATCACAGCTCAAAATAACCAGTTTCTATTGCTAACACTTCACTGTTGCTATGAAGGTGTTAAAACAATGTTTGTACTACAAAGAAAGTGTAAAAGATTATGCACATATGTGAAGCAGTATGTCACAGTATTTAAGACTTGTGTTAAGTGTCTGCACGCACATGCAGCGCTAACTGAAAGCAAGTGAGCTAACTGCCATGTTTCTTTCAAAGTGTGGATCAGGCCCCAAAGATAGGACAAAGAACCTTAGAACTGGTCACAAATGGTAAAGGTGCTCTGATTGATCGGTCACCAACAAAGTAACAGAGCAGTCTGTATATGGAGGGAGGGGCAGAGAGATGCGGGGTGCGGCAAGCCGGTGTGTATGAGACAGAGGTGTGGGTGTGCGTACACTATAAATACACCCTCAACAAATAGTTTTGAGGAGATTTGTTAGCGTCTGCCTTTATGTTTCCATTGCATTCCCAGATCGCCTGTTGTGTTATCTGGGCAGGGAAATGAACAGGACATGCTCTCACCTCCATCAGTAACTACCAGTGAAAAGCCCTTGAGCAAGCTACTTAACCCTGGCCTGTCCCAGTGGAGCGGTTCAGGGTCTGCGGTGGAGCTGAATGGCTGTACAGAGCAGCTCCCCTGTGTGAGTGTGAAGCATTGCGTCACTGAAAATGAAAATCTGTGATTTATACAAACCGTAACCGGGTGAATAAGGATTCAAAAAAGAAGAAGAAAGCAGTCTAGTAACAGATAGCGTTTCTAAAAGAATGTGTTCCCTTCCATCTGGTAATTATGCGAGTGTGATGGCACATGAATGAAAAGATGAGGAAAAATACGGCGAGGGAGATATTTTTAACGCCGTAATGGCTAAATATCAAAAGGCCAAAAACTGCCTTTATCTTCTGTGCCACAATTTTTTTCAATTTTCTTTATTTTTATCCACATCTTTATAAATGTGCAGTGAGAGATCACATAAGCTCCGAGGACCGAGACTGTGCAATAATTAACCTCCCTCCATATTTTGCAGGAAAAGACTTTTGTAGGAAATTGAATGTGTCTCTTTTATCTGTATTTTTCAGACCAACAACTGGAATGGAAAGGTTTTTACATTTTTCCAACTTAAAATTTAGACAAAACCTTGTTGCCTTGGAAAGTGCTGTTGTTTTGAACATACTCAGTGACCTCCAATGCAGTTTATTATATTAGCCTAATCTAAGTATGCACATTGTGAATTAATGTCTTATTTGTGGTGTTTAATAAGCTTTGACCCTATTAAGTTTCACTTAGAAATTATGTTTGTAGACAAATTTTCTTTCTGTTCAGTGCAAACAAGTTGTAACCACACTGAAACACTGCTGAAAAAGTTGCTGAAACACTTTAAAAATATCAAGAAGACTTTTTAATAATGTTATAATTACTGCCCATGTAAATCAAGAAGGATTTTGGGAACACAGCGTGTCATGTTTCTCCCCTAAGATATCTAATTAATAAGAAGAATGGATTAACTTGTGTGCAATACAAGAAAGTGACAGCAGCAGCGCAATCAAATTGAAAGCACCATCGACATCACCGTGGTTTCCATCATAACTGTCACCTTCATCATCAGAAGAGCATTATAACAAATCATTATTATTCAGCGCTTGTAATAATAACACCAATCACCATCACGCTATCATTATTGTCATGGAGCAGATCGGGCCTGCTTTGTATGCAGAGAGCACTGCCTCCTTTCACCTTGTTAAGGAAAAAGCATGGATTTTCATTAGAGTATATGTAGCAACACGTGCTGATGTGGCACACGTCATCAGTAGCAACAGTCCATTGCACTGCCTGTAACTACACCACAGATGTTTTAAAAAATGAAGCCCTGTGCTAATCATTATTGTGTGACATGAGCGATGTCGCTGTGGAATTATACCAATCACTATTGTGCTATCGTTATTATCATTCTGCAGCTAAATCTGCCTGCTTTGTATGCAGAGACGATTGAGCTCATTCCAACCAGAAAATGACAGCTCGTTATGTGAGGGGAAAATGGATTTCACCATGTTGTGGTATTGCAAGGGACCCTGAGACAATACTGTCAATACTATAAAGCACTGTCTGAATTGGTTCTTGTGTGGAATGTGCAATGCATGAATAAAGGCTTATTGATTGGTAGTGTGCTGCCAACAACTCTGTTGTTACATGTTTCACTGCATGCACACAGGCTTCCAGAAAGTGATAATATTTAGTATTGATTTTTTTTTTTTATTCATACCGTAGGAGTGATTTTCCTCATGTTCAGTGTGCCATGTGGATCTATACTTAAAAGGTGCTGCACACCGCTGATGTATTCTACTCTTGTACTGCACCACAAGCACCCATACACAAAACACCAGCACTAAGTGCTCAGCTTTCATTTCATAATGCAAGAAATGTAATATTTCTGTTACATTATGATACGTTGTTGTATGAGTTCTGTTCTCTTCTGTTCAACAAAAGAACAAACACAGGTATGATATGATATTGGCTGCAGCTGCCAAGAACAAGGTCATTTAAGGATACAAACAGTCATCTCTCAGCTTAGCTCAGATAATAATAAAATGTCCCTCATTTTTGGACCAGTGTCCAACTTTGGTAGGCATGCTGACCTGCTCAAACACACATACACAGACACACAATATTTGTACACACATCTCATGTACACATGCAAATAGACAGCTTGAAATTATGCCATTAGTTGTGTCTGTCATTAGCTAAAAGGCCTGAAGCTGGAGTGAGACCAGTATAATTATTCTGATTATAGTCTCTAGCTGAGCTCTATCCAAACACATTACACTCTCTCGGATTAAAATCTCGTGTTTCATCTAGTTTCTAAATCAAGATGTTGGGATTTATCCCTATGATAGCAGCCAATTGGAATCTCGACATTACCACTAAAACTGGTGAAAATCCAAGTTTTATGCAGTCTTGTAAAGGCAAACAGCAAGTGCTATTAGTTTGTCTGGACTGGAGATAAAGTTTGGAGTTTTACTCCTCACACAGTTACAGCTCTCTGGCTTTATAGGGCAGTATAACAGATGACCTTTACATGGGGAAACTTTGCTACATCCGAGAGTCCTGAAGTCATTCCTGACCAGAGTGGAAGATGCATTTTGGCCTCTGCAGACCTTTTTGACAATAATGGATGGTTATAGGGAGGTGCTTGTCATTCATGACTGTCCTGTCCAGCAGGACAGTACTACAGTACTTAAACATGCACCGTCTGATCCAGCATGACAGTTGAGAATGACCCTTTTAAAATGAGAAAACCTTTCTTTTTGTGTGCCTTATTTTTAACAACTGCAGCTTGCTGTA